CGTCTATGTATGTCCATCCGTCTGTCTATCTAGTGAACACTCCAAGTACAGCCATCTCACATCTTTTCGTAATGTATTCATCATATACAAGTGCCGCCATCCAGCGGACAATCTAAAGACCGCTCTTTCGGGTATACACCATCGGAGGATAGACAGACCCATCCTCTAAGGAGCTTCGCCTCTAAACATGTTTGTCCTTCCAGGTACAAGTTACTATGGGGTATTTACATAGAGGTTTTAACGAGCTACTCAACTTGTAAAAGTACGCCAAAAAGCCTTCAAGAGTTGAACGCGATAGCGAAATCCGGCCCCTAGTGCCCCCTTCAACAGCTTAGTGCATACTTATTCATATGTTTTGTTACATACACACGCACGCACACAAACACGCACAGTAGATTGGACCAGCATGCGCTATTATCGCCGAATGGGGTGGTTTTCATCGTGACATCTGTAGAACGAAATGCGTTAAAGGGGCCCTGAAGCACTTTTTCAAGTACCAATGGAATTAATTCACTAGAAGAGCGTTTTGCCACACGAATTCAACGCCGCAAAAATTTTAAGAATCCGTCCAGTGCGGGTGGAGTTACAAAAGTTTGTCGCATGCTGCAATTGCATTATCTCTTCTCTCGTCCCGACGAAAGTGCTGGAAGCTAAGCAGGGAGGGGTGGCAGGGAAAAGAAACTACCACGCCTCATGACCTTGAGCACTTTTGTTTCTTCGAATGCGCGGTTTTACCAGTGTGATCGCGCGCGCACGCGTGGACAAGTAGCGGCCTCCCGCGGCTATCTCGGTAACTTGATTTTGCAGTCACAGACGCACAGACGATTTTTCGCTCACAACCAACAGGGGCCGACGCCGGTGGCGGGTTTTCTGCGACACGAGCTCTTTAACGCTGTCACGTTAATAGGGGATCGCTATCATTTTGATGTACGCTGTTCTTTCTGCTTCGTTGTGGGGCCATCGCCGCTGAAAGGCCCTGCTTGAAAAAGTGGTCGATGTTAGGTGGAAACAAATCGGTGTTTCTTGGGAATAAAAAAAAGTTAGTTTATACGTAGAATCAGTAACTATAGGTGGAAACTGAATTCAAAAATACGTGTGCTTCTTTAAAAAACAAGAAAAAAACAAAACTGGACTCTGGTCTTTGGGGAAAGAAAAAAGGGGGACACATTTTTTTTGCGTTTTAGTACAATTACACAATCCCGATAATTCGCCCTATTAACGCGAGATGACGCTTGGTAAGTTGAGTAAATGTGCGAAAAAAAAATAATA